GAGCCAGAGATTTGGGAACGCACTCGGCACTCAGCGATGGAGGATTGAAAACTAAGAGTTAAATGCATAAACTTACATTACATAGCCCTTTGGATTAATAATTATTAATTATTTGGTTGGTAATTACTTTACTACATAAAACAAAATTCAAAGACAATGCAACAGTAGTTCCTCTGGTATAACGGATGTCTATGGGCATCTTTAAAAGGTTTGAATCCTTCTCTATTACAAAAAAAAGGAATAGAAGATTCAGCCCAGTTTAAAACGGGAGTGTCACTTTACATATTTACTGGGTTTTTATCAAGTTAACACATTAATTAATCGTGTTGGGGTCGACTCGTGGGGAACTCACCAACTCCATTAACAGTTTTGACGTCGCGTCACTTCACTGCTGTTTGTCAAAATCACATCGACGTCGGTTTGCGGACGTCACAATATATCATAGCTTCTATTGTGTGCGGCGGCATTTGCTTCTTGGGACCCGTAATATTTGTCCAACAAAATCTTGTTTCTTATTTTCAAATTATTATAAATATTAGTCAATATAATTAATTTTTAATTAAAATTACGAAACACGCCATTACCCAACTTTTTTGTTCAATATCGTATTAAGAAGTAACAGCAATGGAGGCAAAAAACGGATTTGGCGCCATTTTGGCATCTCTTCTGACAACCAACTCTTCAATATCTCCAAATTTAAAAACATAATTATTTACTTATACGGTCTCTAGTTGCTATAATATTAAAAGCGATAGCGTTTCCCGATTAGATTTACCTTAAAAACAATAACAATTGACTATAAAATGTTTGAAATACACGTAAATCATTGAATACGGAACCATGTTTTGCTAGTTTAAGATCGCACCCCAGCGCATTTTTTATCCAATCTTTGCTACCGGTGTGGTGAGGTGATCTATCTAGTTTTAGACGCTTCATTGACAGTTCCGTGTGGCCGCCTGACAGTTTGACTAATGTTGCCATGTGCTCCTGCGACGAGCGATTGATGTTTAAATAAAGATTTGGCAAAGGAATCCAGATTAGGTGTTGCCACTACAAACGATTGGTTATTATTGATTTAGTTTATTATTAGTTAACATGTATGATACGGAATCAAAAGACTTACTTATTTCATACATTTTTGGATTTAAGACTTTTAATTTTTTACATTGAAACTGAAATGTGACTTAATAGTACAAATTCACTTATTGCTGGACGTAGGCTAGAAAATCTTATAACATATGTGGCTGTTCTAACAAGGATTGATTTTCCCAAGCGGTGTAATATTAATAAACGCTTTGAAAACATCTCGTTCCCGTTGCGGGAGATGGATGACTTCAATTGAGACGTGCTCGTCCACTCGCTGCTCGCTGCTCGCTGCCCGCTGCCAGGTATGCGGTATCTTTAACTTGCCAACATTACAGATGCAGTTAGCAAACAAACAATACAACTCTATTGTATTGGTATAAGTACTATTTTTGACTAATATAAGGTTAATTAATTGATGACGTATTGTTGTACGTTCGCAGCACTAGTGACTGGTCCATCAATGATTGATTTCGATGAATTGTAATGAATTCGTTATTCCAATTGCAATAAAGATGATTTTTGTGTAACAAGATGTTTCTCATTAACAAGAAGTTTGTTGATCCGAGTTGTGATTGTAAGATGCGTTATCGAAGGTTTGGAAATATTCGGCTTTGGTTGTGTTTGACGTATGTGTTTAGACCAAGAGTATGATAACGGGCGGGTCGGCTTCTTGTTAGTACAAGCTAAATTTGGCTCTCACTTCAAATGAAACCAATTTTGTGATAAAATACACACGATAACTTTACTAAACATATAATGTTCTGTATTATTTCTGTAAAATTTAGGAGCTTCTGATCTTATGAGCAGGTAATATCTGTTCGCGAAACTGTTCGCCTACTTATTGACGGCAACTTAAACCGAGTATTTGTGTAAATTGGGCCGTTGAATGAATGGATTTAACGCTATTATTATACATTATCAATGACGTAATAACGGAGAGAAGGTAACTTATTATTTGATATTCTGACGTTTACTTTACGCGATGTTTGTTGATAAAGAGCGCGAAATTATCCAGATATTGCGCGCGAATTTCCGTTTAAACAAAGCGTGTTTCATACCTGACAAATATAATGTTAGCGATTAGGTTATGTTCGGTCATTTAGAGCTGTATTACTTCGTGTTAAGGACTGTAAATGAGGCATAATGTGAATGTAATTATTTGTGTTTTAGGTTACCTATGGCCTGTTTGTTTAGCGGGATGTTTGTTGCGAGACTGTGTAAACGTTTTATGTTTGCAATGTTTAAATTTAGGATCCCTTCTAGATTCATTGGTAACTGTGATCTTTCGACGTTTGCGAAATGTTAGGATAACGAATGGAGTGTTATTTATAATTGTTATTACAATGCAGTGGTCAAAAATTTAGACCTTAAAGTCTATAGTAACGATCTAATATTCTTTTATGGCTAATAGAAAGAATTGAATAAATCAGAATAAGTTGTAGTTTATGTTTCGTGTGTTTGAATCGTTTAAAAAACTAATTATCAAATGAAAAGTAATCTGGATATTCATTATGTTGGATATCGAATACTAATTCAAATAAATGTGAGATCGTCGCGGGTCAATTGCATTATTTATAAACGGCCGGTTAAAAAATTATAATGACCCAAAACCTCCGTGAACTACGGGTTATCCTTCGTGTTTTTTTTTTTGTAAAAAAACCATAAGAGACCTCTGCATTAATCCGTCGGTATAAAGGCCTGCCGTCGGAGCGCGGCGGGTCGCAGCGGGGGGCTGGCAGGTGCGTGTGCGTCTCGGTGTTGCCGCGTACAAAAAATTTGTAAGACGAATGTCAAAATTTTCATTGGTATTTGTGTGCCGTAGAAAAATGATTGATAACAAGTGTAAAAACCTGGTTACTATAAAGTACTTGTATAACAATGTTCAAGATAGTTTTTAATTAAATGCTGAATTCCGTAGAACAGTTGCTCTTTGCAAGAGTAAAGGAGTAAAATTAGGCCTCGGCACCACACTCATCAGATGAAACGCGGAATCTTCACTTCACGTCTGTCTGCTGCGTGGTATTACCGTGCGAGCCGACCCATTCGTGCATAGATGTTAAAGCGGGCTCTACCACTGTTAAAAATATATTACAACCAACTACACATGTTCTTTCCACATCGCAAATAGAGCAACTGATATACACTGGAGATGTTCAGATAGATTTTACGAGGAGCAATTAAAACTTAACGATACCATTTATTGTTATGATAATGAGGTACCTTGACAATGATTTACCCCGATTGCTGGATGTCGTGGGACAAATATCATAGTTATTTACGACTGGTTAAGTTTTATTTGCGGACAAGGTTTATTATTTTTGATTTTAATCTCTTTAACAAAGGTAATTAAATATGTTTAATATATAAAAAAAATCAATGTTGAATAAAAATAGATATAAAAAGTCTTGTAATGTAGGTTTCTCTTACTAAATCTACCCTTAAAAATCTTACTTACGAACATATTGAATTAATTAATAAAATGTGCAAAACTATTTACGATATTCGCGTTTATATTTTGTGTTGTAAAGGTAAAGAGGCATTGAAATAAGATGACATATCAAAAGGCAGTAAAACCCGAGCCGCGCCGGCGCCGCGGGGACTCTCATCTCCTACGTTAACAATATCCCCATGATTGCTTGTCTGTATGTCTCTAACTCTTATTTTATACTAAAAGTATATGGCTAAAAGCGTATCGTAATTGTAGGGCTCTTAATTCTAGAAAGAATTGTTAAAAAAAAAACATATGATTGCTGATATCATACATAACAAAGTGTGTATTTACGTTTTGTTATATAGTATAGATTAAGTAAATACAGGCGGGGAAGGTTAGTGTTCGAATGCAATCTCACAGACGCCCCCCTCTGAGTCCAATGAGATACATACCGCATCAATAAAATCATAATGCACTATAATTATTTGACATTGTTCCTAAATCAAATTTAAACTTTTACAGCTGGAAATAAGAGCTACTTTTCTTTGATTAATTTTTATATGGTTATTTCTGTGTGCAATAAAATGGAGGTAAACATATCCAGCAAATGTTTTCGCTCCTCGCAGACTTAGTTAACGAGAAATATTATTACTTAAGTATAAAATATTAACAGCATCCTTGATGAAAAGATAAACAGGTAAATTAATTGTGGAAGAATGGTGACTTTCCTTGTACATTGTATGCTTGGTTATTTGTTAAAGAAATGCGACATTGCATTTTACAGGTTTATTTTGATAAGGCGGATTATTTATGCACCGAAATAACAAATGGCTATCAAAAAAAGAATTATGCATTTAATCTATTACAAGCGTTCTTTTTTTAAACTTCTTAAAACAAAATTATTCTATGACAACGTAACTTTTGGCGGGAAATTAAATGTCATTTTATTACGTTGGTTCACCTGCTCCTATGAAATTCCAAAACAATAATGATTCTATCGCTATATTTTATCCATTACTGGGTGTATTGAAAACGGTTCGGATATGAGAATATGAAGCGGCAATGAATACGGTGCATTTGTATTGTAACCAGTTGTTATGTCATCGACCGGAGCCTTGACCGCGGCAGTGAAAGTATCCAATAAAGCCGATAATCAACGTTTTATAATTTATAGTAGCATAGTAAAATATAAACAAAACATCTCTATGAGTCATTACAACAGTTATGTAGTCTAATTAATGCAGTGTGAAGTAATGAATTGTTTATTCAGTTTTAACCTCATTCTTGTATTTGTGTAGTATTATTTTATGTAATTTTCTTCGAAACTAGAACAATTCCAAGTATGATATGTATATGCGACATTAAGTACTTTTTATGTCTGTTTTTCGTTATAACCCAGAAAAAAGTTAAAAGTTTTTTTTTCATTCTCTTATGTAACAGTTTCCAGGATCATCTACAGAGTACAGATAATAAAACAAATGGATAATTCTTAAAATACTGTATTGGCTTAAAAATAATAACAATTACACATTAGTCAACAACAATGCAACAAACAACAAGCAACAAACAACAAAACATATTGGTATAACACACAATAAATATCACAATAGCAGACAGGTCGATGGAAACATTTCCAAACGAATTATATTACACATTTTATATACAAGATGGCGCTGGACGCCGCTGGGCGGGGGCCTACAGGGTAAGCTATGGTCGCCTAGTGCTTGCCGCCCTTGTGGTGGTAGATGTGCTTGTAGACGGGCACGTGCACCGGGTACGGCTTGGGAATGGGCACCTCCACTTTCTTCTCCACCTCAACGGGGTAGGGCTTCTCCACCTCGTAAGGCACGGGCTTCTCCACGGTGTACGGCACCGGCTTCTCTACCACCTGGGGCACTACCTGCAACATAAAAATAAATAAATAAATAAAAAGGTCTTCAGTTAATTTCCACAAGATTGTATATTAATGTAGAAATGTTCATTGAATTTTTATTAATAATGTTTTGAAGATATTGCTATAAAAACGATAACGATTTCGAGAACGTAAATAAAATTGCAATAAATTATGTCTAAAATGTCGACATTAAAATTAGAGCAATTTCATGTGATAATAAAAATGTCTCAAATAAAAATATTCCCAAACAAGTCCCAATATTTGTTTGTCAATTCAGTTTATGACTGATGTACATGCGCAGGCGCGGAGCGGGCGCTAGCTCACTGTCAGATTCATTCTTGTCTATCAGACGGTGGAGTAGCGCCGCGCCGCACCGCTCTTACTTTCATTACGTTCTCGTTACATAATTACAACCGGCGCATTGACATGAATGCAACATTTATGTCACTGATTACGGGGCAATCTCCGCAAAAAGTAACAAAAACAACACAATGGCTGTGACATAATCTGTGCTCCCAGTCGGAGATTTGTTATAAATGGAAATGGAAAATTTTCGAGTTTCACTATAATGGATGTCTTGGAATCAGTGAAGGAAAATTTTGTAGTTTTTTGTGTAAACGTTGCTTCAATCATATTTATGATTTTTTGTAACGTTTGTAATTTAAAAATTTTTTTCTTAATGTTGGTAAGACATTATTTTATGTATATTTTTTGTTTTAGAATTTTGTTAATTATTCTTATTCATTTTTATTTTTATTTTGGTACCAGGATACCATAATATTTGTGATGTAACATACCTTGTATACGGGGACATGTATCGGTTGCTCGACAGTCACGTGCACGGGGTAGGGTTGAGGGATGGGGATCTTGACGTACTGCGGTACGGACACTGCCACGGGATGAGGGATCGGTACTCCTATCTTCTTCACCACTGTTACATGGTACGGCTTCGTGTGCTCCGTGTGCGAGTGACCCTCTGGCTCCCATTCGTCTGAGGGCCGCGCGCTCGCGACTGCGGCGATTATAAGGATGGTTGCTGCTCTCTGTAATATTGCGGGAAACGGAACGTGAAATATCATATCTCTCAAGTAGACAATACACTCTGATAACTTTACATTAAAGAGTTAGCTAAAACATCTGAACATTTTTAAAAATCGGAATGAAAACAGAATATGCAAAAAAACATCACGTAAAACGGAACGTTGACGCATGTTGTCACAGACACATTGGCTCTGAACTTGACACGGTGACCTGTAGTGCAATGTCTTTAGATATTAAAAATGTATCAACAGTAAATTAACATATGCGAAAACAAATCTTGACTGTAGTAAACTACGGGAAATGCAGAAAAAGTAAACATGTTTATCTACTCTTGAATATGACAGGAAATATTTCCCGTTCCTTTCACTGGGTGTGATCGGATATTACGTAACAGTTCATTAACGCGATCGTTATTATTTGTACTCGTACATTTACTTAACTTTAAAAACCAATACTCGTTAAGATCATAACCAGATAAATCATAACAAAATAGTACACTATTTTTACTATAAAACTAATCTTTTCACACTTTCGGGAGACAAATCTTCTAGAACAAAGACTATGTAAGTTTACCCTATGACCAAAGAAACAAAATCAAAAATGGAACTACAATTTTTTTGAAATCAGAACGCGGAACTGAAATCTGATTCAAAAAGCGAATGTGGTGTGACCCAACTTCCGTTCCGTTACGTGAATGGGTGTTTGTAGGAAATTATAGTAAAAACTTACGAATGCGATCATGTTGGCAGGTTTAGATGGTGTTGTTGACTTGTTGGTAACGACTGATGGCCTGTTTGGCCCTCACTTGCGTTTTATACTGGGTGAAATGAGCTCCGTGCCTTTCAATTCAGTGATAGGTCCTCCCTACTATGACGCTACATCTATCGACATCTCATAGCAATTGTAAATAAATACTGTTTTACATTGCGTGTTTTGATCCGAGTCAAAGTACTGGTGTCTTCGTTGAACCAGTAATGCATTGGTAGAAAGAGAATGTGTTGCTTGATGTTTATTTTTTCGCACACCCGTGTATGAGGCATGGTAGATTTTTTCGATTTTTGGTTCTATATGTTTAGGTTTTGTTTTATTAACGCACCTAGTTTAATGTAGGAAATAGAAAGTCCAATAGTTTTGAGTTGTGTTTGGCTTGTTTAAGTCCAGTATATTTTTACAATAGATTTTTATTAATTAGATGTCCCATCTCTGCGAATGTTTTGACGAAAACGACTGTCAATGTTATGTTAAGATCTATGAAATGATAAAGTATTTTTAAATTTCTTTGAAATTGAAATAAAAATTGATATTTTTGTTTATAAAGTAGATTTGGCCCGCGACTCTTTCCGCGTGTATTTAAAAAAAACAAAACAAAAGTAATCAGCCTATGTATTCTTCCAGGGTATTCTCTATGTTTATGCCAGATTTCGAGACCCGTTCAGTATTTACAAACTCTAACAAACATCCTTCTAAACATTCGCATTTATTATAACTATTAGTAGGATTATAACAAGACAGGAGAGGTGATGAATGGGGAAGCGAATTTTTTATTCATACGTCCCTTCTAGTCTGCAGTTGCCAGCCAAGTACAAAACACGTCTAGATTCCGATGTCGGTGTAGCAATTAATTGCCGGTTAAGTAACCGTCCAATAATTATATCCGGCTCTGTATTTTGCCAATATGTTGTTTAAAAACATACAGACGAATTGAGTACCTCCTTCTTTTGGGAAGTCGGTCAAAAAATATATTATGAAATGGTTATTGGTAACTAAACTTCACCTGAGACTTTCGCGCTACATTTAAAAAAAACTTAGTAAATAGCTTATGTGTTCTTCCAGACTTCTGCATCTGCGAAAGTATGATAACCAAATTACTTTGAAGTATGATTCTACCTCCAATAGCTATGTGTTACGTCATTGGATAGGTATTTTGAAACTGAAGAAAGGTTTCATACCTTCATCCACGTTTGACCTGAATTTTGCATCATTTTATTGAGATCTGATGAACGTTATTGAAGATAACAATAACATCCATCCATACATCCAAGCTATTGCATTTGTAATATTAGTATGATAGTAAGATTAGTTACTGCGTTCCCATTGCATGAGAGACATATTTACAAAAACCTTTGAAACGTATAGATAACAACATGTTTCGTAAAATATTATCCGCAGTGAAAACGCACGATCTGTATTTTCGTAGTGGCGTGTTAGGTTTTTTATTATCCACGATATTATTATGTCACAACAGAAGAGACATATCATGTGACAGCGGCATTACGAGCCTGGCTGCACATTAGCGGAGAGCGGGATCACTTCCGCAGAGGAAGGTAATTATGATTCGCTTAGATCGCCATCACTACGCCGCGCCCGCGGGGCACCGGCAGCGGCACTCCGGACGGCACTCACTTTCACTGCGCGAGCGCACAACTCGCGCGACGTTCGCCGGGGAAACACAGTGCATTACCTCTTTATTGACTTGAAATATGATTGTATAAATCTATTTAATAAATTAAACAAGTACACATGTATTACATACTAGGTGTTGCTCGCGACTTCGCCCGCGTGAAATAAAAAAAATATAGCCTATGTTACTATCAAATAAATTACCTTTCTAACGGTGATAGATTTTTTTTAAATCGACCAAGAAGTCTTTGAGTTTTTTCAATCCATGTAAAAATACAAATCTTTCTTTTTTATAATATGAATATAGATAAATTAAGTTATCGTTATCGATATTAGTTATGTAAATGGAATAACGTAATGTTTCAAGAGATAAAGTTATTTATGTAAATGTTTCGTTAATGCGAACTCAATACAACTTGCAATAACACGGTTGCCAACAGTATACGCCTACAATAACTTTGCTACATAATAAAATTGCATTCGCGCGAAATTGCTATTCCATTTTAAGTTCCTGTCATGGGTGTCGCGACACCTATGTTACGAATAGTCAACACAACTCGCAATTACTAAACGTAGGTTTATACTTGGGCCACTAAACTAAATTGTTCCTACAACAAACTTAGTAGTGTTAACTTAACACTCATTCTAATTAATATTAAAGTAATTCATTAATTCAACCGGGATGCGTCGGTCGATAGTCTAGCAGATGTTTGCTTAACAGAGGTGTAACATATGTATCAGAAACATTATGTTTATGTAAATCTAATTAAATAAGTATCCAGATGTACCATATTAATATTATAAAGAGGAATATTTGTATGTGTTGATTTTTGTATGTATTTAAATAACTCAAAAACTACTGGGCTGATATCGAAAATTTTTACACCATTAAAAAGCTACGTTATCGCTGAGTAACATAGGTTATAACTATTTCAGATTTTTAATTTCACGAAGGAAGTCGCGATCAACTGGTTTATTATATTAGGACTGTTTAACAATGGATTTAATTAGAGAATGTCTAATTCAGCAGACTTGTGGTAGACTGTTTAGGTGGTTTAAATTAAAAAAAAAAAGTTTTGAAAAGAGTGAAATAATCACAGTTTCTAGTGGCCAATAAATTAAAGATGACAGTTTCAATACAATATTTTAATTATTGACTTGCAAAAAAAAACCTCGAGAACTTTGTCAAAATTGCGGACCACACAGGGTCGTTGCACCGCACGCGGTGCCTGCGCACTTCAGACTGCGAAGTGTCACAACACGACCACGATCGGTTGATTTATTGCTGACCCCACGCCGGAGGTCGCCGTTGCTGCGTCGGGCTGATAGACTGCAGTCTCATTCAACCTTCCTTTATAATAGTTTCACACGAAGGCACAGTAGTACATTCCAGTACTGCTATTTAAACGCATACGAGATAGTACAGTTTTGACAATACCTAAGTGTGAAACTACTGAACGTGTGCAAATGTTCCACCCTTTGTTATGTCGTAAGAAGTTTCTATGTGCAAATCTTAGCAGAACTTCTGTTTGTTTAGTTTTTTGTGGGTATTGTTGTGTTCGTGTTGAGAGATGTTTATACTAAGTTATTTGTGTTCAGACAATTTACTTAGATATCTTTGTGATGTCTTTCAGTTTGCTCACCTATTTAGTGTTTAATTTTCCATTGTTTGCGAGGGAAATATTTGAAAGTGCGTGCGCGGTGAAGGAACTTTGAATTTGTTCTATTACCGCATAATGTAATTATTCTGCTGCGGTAAGTTTGTTTCCTTTAGGACCCGTATAAATTGATTTATAGAAAAACAATCAATAAATACGAAAAACTTTCATCTCCTTGCTATATATTGCTATTATAACATAACAGGCGCTGATAAGAAGGTTACGTTTTTAGAACGCAAGTAGTGAAAAATACTTTAAGCATATAAAACGCATATCATGTATTTCAACAGTGGAAGATTAGAGTCCGCAGGAGCATATAATTGCGGGAATATCCCCCTCGCTGCAATATCATACAAAAGATACGCTTCAAGTGGCAGTATTTCCACATATCCTGTTCAAATTAGAGTCCCCTTCAGTTTCCCAATATTTTATAAATAATGATGCCAAGGAGTACACGATTTGTCAGAGAATGGGATGTACAGGGAATGGAAAACTCTCTTTTCTGTTCACCTCCCCTGCCCCTTCAAAGGAGGCAACGCAATAGTAATTTATGTATTAAAAATAGACAAAAATGTACCATGAATGTACGTATACCTACCTATTACACAAGTAAGTGTACTAAAACTTCAAATAAAATCTGTCATTTCGTTGTAGTAGGTACAAGATCTCAACTAGGGCCAGGTAGCTATTGTCTGTCATTGTCCTTTACTTACATTTTCCCTGTATGAAAATTCTTTCCTTCATTTCAACCTAATATGAAATCTACATTTATACCTATTATTATTATAAAGTGGAAAGATTTGGGTTTGTGTATGTATTCAATACACTTAAAAACTACTTGGCCGATTTCAAAAATTCTTTCATCGTTAAAAAGGCAATTTATCTGTGAGTAACTTAGGCTTTATTTTTTTTAATCCACGCGGGCGAAGTCGCGAGCAACAACTGGTGTTACATAAATCAGAATTAAGGAAAATTGTATGTTCCATTTCAAAGTAACGACATTTTTTCTTTGGCCGAGTTGTTCATAGATCGGGTTTGCGTAGTGTGCGCCGGTTCGTTTTTCCGACGGCGCGTGTTTTCCTAGGGCTCCGCCCGCGCCGGCCTCGCCGGGCTGCGAGGTGGCAGCGCGGGGCGGCCGCGCGCCAATCCCCGCCGGCGCCATGTTGCCGCCGGGGCGGAGTCCCCGCGCCCGTCCCTCTCCCGCGCCTACGGAAAGCCAGTTTTCCCGCTCGCACTCGGCGCGCGCTCATTGGCGGCCGCGTAATTAAGCGCGGGAATTTGAATTCTATTTTTGAAGTAAATGTTTTTTCAGCGGCGCTACGAGGCCCCGCGAGGCGACACCTGTCGGCGGCCGAGGGCCTTTTTGTATTGCGCCTTCTTCATTCGGTGGGTTTATAAAATGGCGGCTGGACTCCGGCACATAACGTAAATCTGTGGGAGATGTATGGCGGGGAATTAACACGTTTGGTGGTGTCTGATCGATTTATTGGTCGCTGCGAGATGTATGGCGACGTGCGAGACATTTGTTTACGTGTGGGCGGAATGCTAACGGCATGTGGACCGTTTTGTTTGGAAACATTTAATTACTTGTAAGGTCAAGGTTCTGATACATAAAATACCATTCCAGTATCGACAGACATTATTACGTAGTAGGTATACAATAAATGAAAATTACTTATGAATGTCTTGGCAAATTTGAAAATTTCAGATAAACATATGGCCGTTTTCTCGGTTAGAGG